TTCCCCATTATCACAGCTCCTGGCCTCGTTTCTCCGCTCCTCCTCGCGTTCTCGATTCTCCAGATCCCCATTTTCAACTCCCGAATCTAGAACCCCCACTGTTTCTCGCTCTTCCCCCATTGGCCACTTCCTACACCGCCCCGTTCAGTATTCAACCTCTGCCGCTGCCCCCTCTAATCCACCATCCAAAAAGTCTGATGAGTTCACTGGAAAATGCGCGTTCGGGAAGGTTTGCCAGGTGATCGTTGTCGTGGTTGATGTGAGGTTCGACGAGGGTTTTCCGCCGATTTTGACGGCCTTGGAGGTTTTGGATAATCAGATCAGGCTGGTCCTTGAGGTGGCACAGCATTGGGTGAGGATGTTGTGATGTGTATTGCTATGGATGGTACTGAAGGGCTTGTTCGTGGTCAGAGAGTGCTTAACACTGGCTCCCCATCACTGTGAGTTTCGTCCCTGATATTTGTGTTCATTTATTTTATTGAAAATTGTTGCGCTTTGATGGCTGGGATTTGGGGATTAGATCTAATTTATTTTATTTTATTTTTTTAAATAAACTGTTTTTTGTATGTTTGTTTGTTCGGCAACGCATTGATGGATCGATGAATCGACATTCCTGAACTCAATAATTTAGTGTGTAATTAAGAATTCTCTTTCGTGACTTCTAGGAGTTTTTGCTCTGAATATGTGAAAAAAGCTTATGAATTTTGCCCGTGTTTCTGAAGCCGGGCTTATTTTCTATAGTTTTAGATTAGATGCTTGTAAATTGTGATTAACATTTTCTGTATAAAAGAAAATGATTGTATTCAAGATTGACCATTAGAGTTTAGGAGCTATAAAATTTCATAGGTCAAATCCAGTTTGGTCCGTGCCAGTGATTATTGCCTGTCAAGATGATGTACAACAATTTCATGCATTAATTGACGAAAAATGTCACAAATTTAGTTTTCAAATACAGTGGATCAAATTCCCTTTTAAGTTTGTTTTATGCACGTGCCTCTTATTACCTGACTGCTGAATATGAGAGGGTTCATGGCATAATTCTTGGACTTTAGTACTCAAGATTTGGACTTGTGTTTCTTTTATTTGATTTGAAGTAGGAATAGATTTTCCTTCTGGACAAAACTTAATGTTCTATTAATAAAAAATCATGCTAGTGTTGCTATTTTTGTTTTCCGTTTTCCCCTTTTAATTTTCAATAATATTATGTTAAACTCATGGCCTTCTAATAATTATCTAGGCTTTGGAATTAATTGTGTTATATCGTACTTAATTGGGCTAGTTATCTTTTATGGTCTGAAGTCTTGTTTTATTTTATTCGTGCTACTCAAAGTCTTGTTTTGCTTTATTTGTTTATCCCTTTATTTTACAAATGCCATTTCAAGATTCATTTGTTCCAAACTAAATAAACAAATCTTGATTTTGTTTAGAATTTGAACTATCAACTTATAATGATTATCTTATTGACAATTTGCTTTTGACTTTAAAGTGGACGAGTCAGAACTTGAAATTATAATGCATGCACTAGCACACCCACACATGTACACACGTTAGAGAGAGTTACAGGGAAGAAAGTTGAGGATTGAGCAAAGGGATGGAAATTTCTTGCTTTCTATACTTTGTGCACAAAGCTTCAAGATAATTTGACTAAATTCTTTTTCTCTAACTTTTTACACTTGAAATACCAAAAATCAAACATGTTTGCGCACAGCTTATAATCCCCTCTCTATTACTTTTTACACTTGAAATACCAAAAATCAAACATGTTTGTGCACAGCTTATAATCCCCAATACCCATAGTTGACCATATTTCGGGTGAAGCTATTTGGCTATCTTGTGAGCCACACAAATTGCAGGTTCCTTACTATATGTGGCTTATAAGATAGCCAATAAGTTGCGTCCAAATATGCTTCGAAGTTTAAACTCCAATAAGTTTTGCCAAACATGCTCTAACTTTTGTTCTAACAAATTCAACTCAGAGTTGGCTTGGCATAAATGTAATTTTAGTATCTGTTATTTGAGTTAAATAGAGTTCAACTTCTTTTATGCAATAAAGATTAGTCAAAAAATCAAAATTTTATAAAAGATATGATGTAAATCTACAGCAAGAGTTCTAGATGAAATTGAATTCTAATTTCAAAATTCAAGACTTGGGCCATAAAATGTTAAATACTAAATAGCCAGTTAAGTCTGATATAGCTCAATTAATTGTTAGAAACCCATTTGATTTTATTTAAAATTATTTTAAATATAACAAGGGCTAACGTGGAATTGAAAACAAGCTTTTGCAGTTTTTTCCCCCTATAAATAGGACATAAAGTCTTGTTCAAGAGTTAAAAAGAAACTAGTCTGGAAGAAGAGAAATGAATAAAAGAGAAGTGTGTTCTCTGTCAACTGTCAAGTTGAAGTTGCGGAAATGCCAAAAAGATTAAGTCTTCTAGTTAATGAAAAATAAATTCGAGTTCAAGTCCCGAAAGTTCAAAGAAGATCAAGTCCAAGCAAATACATAAATCAATATTCCAATTGGTGGGCATCGCAAAGAGATTTATTAGATATCAATAAATTTTTTTATTCTAGTTGGAATTGCTGGATATTACTTCAAAAAGTTCTTGTATATAATGTTGCCTTTAATTTGTGCAGATGTTTATGATGCATAATAATCAAATTAGAGCATGTCATGTTGATGTTAAATGACTATGTTGCATGGTCTAATTAGTGCATGCTGTGGTGATACGATACAACAATGGTTTGGATTTTTCCTTTATTGATGGGTAGGTTCTTGTTGGTAGAGCAACATTGGCTCGTATCATGAACGTCATTGGGGAGCCTATTGACGATAAAGGAGAGATCAGTGAGTTATTTGTTGTTTATAAGATAAGCAATGCATTTAGTTACTAAAGATGGCTTTTGGCATTACTGACAAACGAATGCTGCCACAGAAACGGATATCTACTTGCCAATTCATCGTGAAGCTCCTGCTTTTGTCGAGCAAGCAACTGAACAACAAATTCTGGTTACTGGAATCAAGGTAACACACATCTTTGAATATTTCTTTAGTGGTTTCCCTTTCAATTGGAAAATTAATTTTATGGAGGTCCTACTTTCTGAGATTAAAACAATGTGTTCATCTGTGGGTGGATACTTTTTGATCAATTTATATGTTGTATTAGTTTTCTAATTTCTCACAATAACATTTCTTGCAGGCCAACTCAGACGTGTCTGCTTTGATTGGGCGTATCCCTTCTGCTGTTGGTTATCAACCAAATTTGGCTACAGATCTTGGAGGCCTTCAAGAACGTATTACTACAACTAAGAAAGGTTCTATTACATCCGTCCAAGCCATTTGTGTACCTGCTGATGACTTGACAGATCCAGCTCCTACAACAACTTTTGCTCACTTGGATGCCACTACTGTGTTATCGCGACTGGTACTGGAGTTCATTCAAGTTACTGTTAATAAAAATTACGTCCACCTATATAATTTGTTTGTTTTCATCTGGGTCAGATTTCTGAGCTTGGTATCTATCCTGTTGTTGATCTGCTAGATTTGATATCCCGTATGCTTTCCCCTCACATTTTGGGAGAGGACCAAACATGGAGTTCAAAAAGTTCTTCAACACTTCAAGAATCTTCAACATATTATTGCCATTCTTGGAATGGATGAGCTCAGTGAAGATTACAAATTGACTGTTGCTTGTGTTCGTAAAATTCAACGATTCTTGAGCCAGCCTTTCCATGTTACAGAAGCTTTCACGGGTGCACCTGGCAAGAATGTCGAGTTGAAGGAGAGCGTTGATAGTTTCCAGGTACCTATGATCTCTTTGCAGCTCGTGCTATACACTTTCCTTCCAATTATTCTTTTAAGCTAGCTTTACAACTCTTATTTGGACTCGATGCAGCAATATATGATCTAACGTAATGAAATGTCGTGATTGATGTTCTATGTTTCTATAAGGTTTCTGGGTTGTCTATATGTTTGATTTTTGCATTTTTCTTACTTTGGCTTTTTAATTCGGTTGACATTTTATTTTTTTCCTTTGTGATGTTTAACACGGCTGACTGCTAGATTGTTGTTATCTACAGGGAGTCTAGGATGGAAAGGATGATGACCTTCCTGAACATTCATTTTGCATGGTTGGAGCAATTGAAGAGGTCATTGCCAAGGCAGAGAAGATTGCAAAGGAATCTGCTGCCTAGATGGACGAAAATTTCCATGCCTTTTCTTTCTACTGATAATTACGAAAATAAGTTTGTCTGCAGCTATGCCAACGTCTGGAGTTCTATTTTTCTTGAGACCCAAATTTCGCATTTTAATCCTGTTTTATTTATCTCAGTCACAGGATTGGGATAGAGATGTGGGGCCAATAGCCTCCCTGTCAAGCCCCAGCTTTTTTATCTTGTCACATAACTAAGGGGTACAAGATGGCAGATTGTACATTTCTCCTTGATTTTTTGGATGCCTTAATTATACGATGATATCACCCTCTCTTGTACCCCACACCAATTGTAATTTGCTCATTATAATGCGATTTCCTAGTGTCAGCAGCTTATTTAATACAAGAATTCGTCTCCTTGAGGTTTATTATGCCTCTTCTATGTGCTTCATGGAGTTATCTGAGCCCCAAGTGTGTGTTCACAGATTGGGCTGCACTCCCAAATGTATTATAATTTGTTGAGCCTTCTCCATAAATCTCTTTACAGCAACCAAGATTTGGGGTCCTTGTCAACTGTCTACTGGTACGATGTGCATAATCGATGCCTGAAGGAACCCTTGTGATTGAGAAGGAATGTATTAATCTCTCAAGGTATCATTGTGTCACTTAAAAAAGTATGAAGCCAAATCATTGAGCCTGGTATGGTGTCAACATTATATGTTATTTTCTTTCAAGATAAAGGGAGGAACAAATCATTGGCGTACGAAGCCAAACTAGAAACAACCTAGAAACCTGATTAATGTCCGGTAGAGGAAGTGACAGTTTGTGACAAAAAGGTTCCATAAAGAGAGTAATGTTGTCAAATGACAAACTAGGAGAGAACCAAATGTAGCGTAAGAAGTCTCGCCTAATCAACGGAGAGCAATATTGTCCTTGAGCTAGTTCAGTTATTAGGAACAAGATTTAGACATATTAATAAGACATTTCCAATCAAAGATTGATCAAGGAAATATTGTTATATTGCGAGGTTGGGGTATAACACTACAAAATGTTTGGCTTCAAGGAAGCCGTGATTGGAGAGTCAACCACAAACTATGTAGAATAAGATTATTAACCGTTTCAAGTATTGAGATAACAGGGTAATTTTGTCTTTTAAGCATGAAAAGGCTATTGTGGTGACCGGTAAAAAAGTTTGGTCAAAGTGAAAAATGAACATGTTGACGTAGTCATTTTAAAAAGTACCCCTAGGTTATCCTTTTATTAAATAATAATTGAAATATTAATGAGTGAAATTCAAACTAAAAATTCGTCAATGAACTTCTTGATAGCAACTTTATCTCAAATAATTAGATTAATTTATGCAAGCTTGTTGAAATCAATTTTATTGATGTGAAAGGAAACTACCCTATATTTTAATTAATTTAAGCTTTGTAGAAATGGTTAGTGTGTGTCTGGTAATGAATTTGGGTTGGATCAATGGAAGAAGAAGAGGGTATTGTTGTCTCTCCTTTAATTTCTAAGCAACAAACAAGGCATGGAGAAAGTCATTCAAATTTTATTGAAGAGTTGATAGGAGAAGCAAAGCAGCAGTTAAATTTGGCATTGCCTTTGATAGTAGTAAACATTTTGCAGTATTGTTTACAAGTGATTTCGATTATGTTTGTTGGCCACTTGGGAGAGTTGCCTCTCTCTAGTGCTTCCATGGCTACTTCTTTTGCTTCCGTCACTGGCTTCAGTGTATTGGTATATACCTTGTAGTTCTTTTATTTTCTTAGTGCAAAATTTCATTAAATGGGTAGCCGAGACTTGAATTCAGTGAAATTCCACATCTGCTGACATCTTCAGATGTTCCCATCGTAGCCTACTAAGCTCAAAATAGCAATTCGATCTAAAAGCTTAAACTTACAAATGAGGTTTATATATTTGCACATATTGTTCTGTTTGGAGGGTGTTTGTTGAAACAAATTAGTTGTAATCCAGATTGAATTTTAACATTCTTGTTTGATTAGAAATGTCAAAAATATTTGTACTTATTGTCAAAAATCGACTGCTTTTCACCATAAATTGTAATACTATGCTAGCCGTGAGATTACAAGAATTAAATAAATAATAAAATGCAATTTTTTGCAATTCAAACTTCTAATAAATTTTATACAGGAAGGAACGTAGTTCACATTTCAAGAACAGTATTTATAAACATGCTGCAGTTATATTTTGTAGTACCATAGTCTTGGTTATTAGAGTTCGTGGACGAATTTTATTATAAAAATTGGCTTGATCTTGCATAATTCTCAAGTATTCTGTTTAAGTATTATTTTCATTATTGCGAGCAATTGTTGATCATACTTCTGGGTTTTATATTTCCAACATAAGATATGCCCTAGAATGGATTAACAACACTTTTAAACAAAACTAAAACACAGCTCAATATGCTTAAGATTTAAACATTAGAGTCAGTTCATGATGGGATAACTACGGTTTCTGCTCATTGTTCGTGCTAAACTAAGCATATTATGTCTTGAAAGTACTTATGAATCTTGACTTGATTTCTCACTACCTTTTGAAGCTAGGAATGGGCAGTGCGTTGGAAACACTGGCTGGGCAAGCCTATGGGGCAAAACAATACCATATGCTCGGTATTTACACCCAACGAGCAATCTTAGTTCTTTTATCGTTTAGCATTCCCGTCTCATTCATTTGGTTCTACACTAGCACCATTCTTATAACTTTTGGTCAAGATCAAGATATATCTATTGGAGCAGGAGTATTTAATTGCTGGATGATCCCGGGCCTTTTTCCTTATGGCATCCTCCAATGTCTCAACAGATTTTTGCAGACACAAAATATTGTAATTCCTATGGTGATAAGCTCTGGAATCGCAGCTTTGTTGCATATTTTCATATGTTGGCTTTTCGTGTTTAAAATCGAGCTTGGAATCAAAGGAGCAGCTTTGGCTAATGCCATCTCATATTGGATCAATGTGCTATTGTTGGCACTATATATCAAGTTCTCCTCAGCTTGCTCAGAAACTTTCATAGGTTTTTCAAGAGAAGCCTTTGATAATTTACTCGGATTTTTAAAGCTTGCAATTCCTTCAGCAATAATGATATGGTAACTTCAGTTTTTTCTCCTATTATATCATATGATTAGGTGTCTATAACTTGAGAAGCATATCAAGTTCAACAATTTAGTGGCAGAACTTGAAAAGGCATACAAACTTAATTTTATCTTCATCTCGTCAAAAAAGCCCCACGTATCATTCTATTTTTACCATTTTTGGTCGATTGTAATGTGCATTTGTTCAAGTCTTTAAATGGTTTGAAGAGTATATGCTGACTGTTTGGAGTGCAGCTTGGAATACTGGTCATTTGAAATGGTAGTCCTTTTAGCCGGTCTTCTCCCAAATCCAAAACTAGAGACATCAGTATTATCTATAAGGTTTGTATTTGTCAATCTTCAAGTTCGAAGAATGAAATAAGCAGTGTTTTGGCTTAGTTTCTTTTGTGGCTTTTCTCAGTAGTATCAACTTCTTTTGTAGAAGCAGCAGAGCCAAACATGCTCTAAAGGGTATATATCATTTACTATCTTTCTTCCATTTTTCAACAGCCTTAACACGTGTTGGATGGTGTATATGATCTCAGTCGGTCTGGGTGGTGCTATAAGGTCAGTAAATATGAACGTTTCTACGAAAAGATTTTGTTTCTATTCTGTTCAATATATATCAGATTGTGACAACCATTCCTTCTAATAAATACCATAGTACGCGGGTTTCAAATGAATTGGGTGCTGGGCGCCCACAATGTGCACGTATAGCTATATGTGTAGCAACAGGGATTGCCATTTTAGAGGGTGTAATTGTTGGAACAACGACCATTCTGGTTCGGCATGTTTGGGGGAAGTTGTACAGCAACGACGAAGAAGTTATCAGATATGTAGAAAAAATCATGCCTATATTAGCATTGTCCGACTTTCTGGACGGATTTCAATGTGTGCTATCAGGTAAAGTCTGCATCATTCTTTCCAAGTTGGTAAAATTTATATGAGAAAAGCAGTAGTTTCATGCTTTATAGACTATAAAGTGTTGTACTTACCAATTTTAAGGGGCGGCTAGAGGATGCGGATGGCAAAATTTATGTGCATTCATCAACCTTGGAGCCTATTATGTTGTGGGAATACCTTCTGCTGTGCTTTTTGCATTCGTCATTCACGTTGGAGGACTGGTGGATTCTCTGTCCCTATCTATCGAAAAAGTACACATGCCTAATGAAGCTAAGCTTATAATTGTTGGTTATTGTTAGCAGGGACTATGGATGGGGATTATTTGTGGACTTTCCATTCAAGCCATTGCACTCTTGATGGTAAATCTTTGCACTAATTGGGATAGTGAGGTGAGGCGTACTGATTAATATACATTTCTTACTTCTCCATACCAATTAGCTAAATTTGAACTTCATTCTCAAACAGGCGAAAAAGGCCATAGATAGAGTTCAAAAATCCAAGGTCAACATTAACAATTGTGGTTTAGTCTGTTGATGTCAAGTTTATGCTGTATGACTGTGATTACTAAAAAACAATAGAAGTTCATTATCTTTGTAGAATGATAGCGTATTTGCCAATGTTATGGAATGATGGTTAATTTGGAATAAATTTCAATTTGAGGACTGATCTGAAAGTTTATTGTTATTTCAGTTATTCTTGTGTAAATTACTTTTATAAAATAAGTTTCTTTTATTTATTAAAATTAGAAATTAAGTTCAATAACATTTTAACTTAAACTAAAACAAAGAAACCATTTTAAAAAACCTTAAGAAAAGGGAAACGTATACTAACACGTTCGAAACATGAGTATTTATGCCAGCGTCACCACTTTCATAGAAACAATTGCAAGCTTCAATGAACAATATTATTAAGTAATGAGGAAATTACACTACATGTCAATTTTTTGTTTTGTATATTCAAATATGTCACTTTTTAAAGTATTTGCAAGATTGTCATTTTTTGGACATTTTTGCCCTTAGAATAATTTAAATAACTTACATATCCTTCATTAAATGAGATTTAACTATATGAAAAATTGTACGAAAAACTAAGAAAATGTAACATTCAATAACTCAACTTTAAAATTTAAACCCCCCCCCCCCCCAAGAAAAAAAAAAAGGTGAAACCAAAAACAAAAAATACAACACAATTTATCAATCAAGCACTCACTAACCCTAAACTTACTCGCCTCTCTCTCATTCGAATCATCAAAAGCCCACGCTAGTCGACGATCACCGTTAATCAATCCATTGCCATCAACGACCACCTTAATCAGTCCACCATTGACGAAAACCACCATTAATCTCTTGAGGTTTCCTTTTTTATTTCCTTTTGCATTTTTTTGCTCTTTTCTCTTCTGATTCTTCACATTTAGGGGTGTTTGCTTTTATATTGTTCGTATTTTTTGACTTAGATTGGTACAATATGCCTCATTTTTTAGATTTTGTTGTCTATTTTTTTAATTCTACGAAAATGCTAACATTAAGGTTTATGTAAATTATCTATGAATTTAGCCCACGGTAGTGATAGAGATTCAACTATTCCTCCTCCCGTTAATATTCTTCTTGTTCTCTTTTATGTTAATTTCCTTGCCTTGCATGTGGGAGTATTGATTTTTACAATTTATGGTGAATTGAGATATCTTATCGTATTGTCCTCTATGTTCAAATGTTTTAAGTGGACTATTTAATTTGTCAAAATAAAAGTCTTGACAGTTATGAATTTTCAATAGATAACTACTCCACAGATCAGTTATGGGACCTATCTATTGAGTTGAACTGTTGTTCCAGACAATTCGTTTCAGTTATTCTCGACAGATAACTAAAGACCAACAGATGAGTTGAGTCATTTGTCAATATGAATTGTTGATCTCGATATTTAATGTATTTCGTAAAATATGACAACTTCTTGACAGATCAGTTGGGTAGTCTGTCCTAGGAATGTCAATGAGTTGAGTCGAACCGAAATTCATGGCTTGGGCTTGGCTCGGGGAAAATGTCCGAGCTTTTTTTCGGTCTCGAGCCGAGCCGAGCTTTTTGCTTGATCCAAGAAATTAGGCTCAACCCAAGCTTTTGGCTCGGGCCTTTCTGAGCCAAGCCGGGCAAGCTTGCTTTTTTTTTTTTTTTTTTTTTTTTTTTTTTTTTTTGTGGGGGGGTTTGTTTTTTAATTTTTTTTTTTTTTTTTGGAGTTCCACATATTGTTTTTTGCTTTTTTTTAATATATAGGTAGCAGGTTGCTGTCTTAAAATTTTTTTATTTTATGAAGGCCTACGGGCTTGATCCGTCGGCTCAGGCTTTTTTCGAGCCGACAAGCCCGATTGCCATCCTTAGTCTGTCCATATATCTAATGTTGATTCATTCGAATAATATGTGTGTTTTTGTTTTTCTTACACGTGTTTGTCGCATTAACATGTACTAATTATTATGATCTGACTTTTTTACTTTGTTGTTGTACATTGTTCTCTCAGATTCGCATAATATTCCTTAGTATACGAACTAGGAATCGATTACATGTTCGTTAATATGCAAATGTTACTATAAGCTTGTTTGAGCCCCATTATTTATAAAAAATGCATAGACTACAATATTTTTATATTATTTTAACAACACATTTTTCAATAAAATAATATTATACTTAAATTTAGAACTTTTCCTTATTTTTAACCACACATTTCTCATCAATACACTATTCAAAAATTCATTTTTCCCTCCAAAATGTGGCTCAAACAAGGGCTATGTTATTATTATGCATTTTAGATAAGTAATTCGGCCATACAACATTTGCGTAAGTGGTTTCCCCGATATATCAATGGAGACCATCAGACCCGTTGAAGACAACGATACTGTTAACACAAAAAGCTCGCAATCTATATGCGTTCGCTTTCCTATAGCATCTACCAGAACTCCATACACCAAAGGGATAAGAAAGAAAGTCAAGAATTAGTGCCTCAAGAAGTTTGTTAATAATATGATAAATACTATTTTGTGGCCATAGCAAGGGCAATTATTTAAGAATTTGATTATAAATACGCTTTGGTGGCTGTATATATTTGTGTTTATGCATCTCCACAAATTCGACAACCATTTATGTGGTCAAAATTTGTGTACGTCATTGATTATAATTATTTATTATAATTTTGTCATAGATTCATCTTGTAACATCTGTACCAAATGTCATGCAATAGCATATCGTTATGCATCTTATTTGTAGTCAAGTTTACAACCAACTGTCGACAATGATAGTAACCTTTTGTCGGGACCGACAGTTTCACTTTCGGAATGTAATGAAATATTTTGCTTATGAACTTCAACACGATTAATATCTTCAAATAGTAAACCAATTTCAATGATAATATAAATGCAGAATGTATAATGCTAGCATTGAGACATGCAAAAAGAAACCATGGACAAGTTAAGAATGTAATGAAATAATCTATCCACGTCAGAATTTTGCTGTGAATTACTGCTACATGATTGATGTTTGCAAACGATAATGAAACGAAAATGATAATATAACATAAAAATGTACAATGCCATCATTTGGTTATGTTGGCATAGTTATTATATTTGTTTTCTCTATTGCAAAGCTAATATTTCCACAACAATAAGGTAAATAATTGGAGAGATTAAACACCTACGACGACATTCAATTTTTCATTGGTGCCTCGATGGCACCGTTGTCTCCAATGTGGGTATCGATAAGAAACATTATTATACATATAGCTAGATTGTATACATCTATTTCTTAAAACTTATTTAAGGTACTTTTAATTAATTAGACATTCACACCAAACACATTATTAGGTAAACATATTTTTTGAAGCAATTCTTCGTAAGCTAGAAAATTACATACTTAAAGAGTTGTCCAACATTAATTTCAAAGATTTTGTGTAGTTATTCGTCATAATATTGTACCGTTGGCTAATGAATAATACTCATACCCAAAATGAAGAACCTAATCGCTCAAAATACCCATACAATCTTTCACTTACCTAACGAATCTATCCTATAAGTCTTTTGAACTCTTCAACCGATAAGTTGTAGCAACACGTTTAAATAGAAATATTGAACTTGCATTGTTGTACCATTGTATTAAGTTCTTTTCCACATGGGTACAACAACTATGGTGAGACAATGGAAATACGTATCGAACGGCTTTTTCAAGCGACATGATGAATCTAAAATGATTACTCATTCTTGAAATATTAAGATTGCAACGGTAAGAATTCTGTACAATCAATGTGTCGATATTTAATACCATGAAAGTAGAACTTTCGAATATTTAAATTTATGCAATAGCAAAAGGTGAAATCTACGGTTTTAATAGTTTTCAAGTGTCGAATTCTAGAGTTTAATTGTCTATTCCGACAATTTTTAAATGTCGAGTTCGACAGTTGAAACATCTAACCCAACAGTTTGAAATGAACTATCTGATAGTTGAATTGTCAAAACTATAGGAAAGCTTGAAAACATGTATTTGGTACCTTGAAAGAAAAAAGGTCATAATCAATTCTCAACTACATTATCACAACATTTTCCCAAAAATAAATAACTCAATACTTCATTAAATATGAAATCTGCACATTTTGTAAATGATATTGGTAACTTTACCCTTCAAAAATATTTCAAAAACCAAACACATCGATAAATAAGCGTTTCAAAAATTTTAAATAAAAATGACCATGTTGTATTTAACATTTATAGAATATAATGTATAAGATAAAAATATAAATAATTTCTAATAGCTAACATCTCAAAATGAATGATGAATTCAATAATAAGAAGATGCGTGTTAATGTTAACTTTTAATTTATTTTATTTTATTTTTTTTAATACCAAAATTCATATTACGTTATATAATAATCATATATCCAATGTTTATAATATACAAATTAAATCATCATACCATAACATTAATAACATTCAAATTAAGCATTAAATGCTCTTAAAAAGGTATCACTAAGGGTATTTTGAACATTTCACACCAAAAGTGACCTTTTTGAGCATCTTTAGTGAAAATGAATTTTTTTGTAAATTTTCAAACTTAGTGACATTTATGAAAATTTCCCTCAAGTAATTTCCATTTTAATATAATCAAGTTCTACGTAGCCAATTATTGCTAAACTAACTACGCATATAAAGATTCGGAAAAATTATGCCGATTACTGAAATTTAAAGAGCAAAAGTCAAGTCAAAGTGTTTGTTGGTCATTGTCCATTTCAAACTATGGATTCAACACAATTAAAAAAAGAAGAAGAAATTATCAAAATCAAAATGATTTTCAATATTTAAATTATAATTTCTATCTCGTAGAAATTGTCAATTTTCCTTTCATTTCAATCGCACAACAATGAGCTTCTTATACACGAGTATGCTTGAACCCTATTTTCTTTTGAGAATGTATTTTGGAATAGTAGATTGATGGAGAATGTTGGTTAAAAAACAAAGAAATTTTTTGAATTTGCGTTTAATACTATTTTATTGAAAAATTTATGGTTAAAAAGAAGCAAGAGAGAAAAATATATTTTATAAATAATGAGAATCAAACAATGACATATTCT